ACGCACACCCAATTCGGCACACCCCTCACACGTTTCGTGGCCCCATAGGGAGCTCCGCCGAAGGCCCCAGTGCTGCCGCCCGCATGCGTCACGCACACCCAATTCGGCACACCCCTCACACGTTTCGTGGCCCCATAGGGAGCTCCGCCGAAGGCCCCAGCGCTGCCGCCCGCATGCGTCACGCACACCCAATTCGGCACACCCCTCACACGTTTCGTGGCCCCATAGGGAGCTCCACCGAAGGCCCCAGTGCTGCCGCCCGCATGCGTCACGCACACCCAATTCGGCACACCCCTCACACGTTTCGTGGCCCCATAGGGAGCTCCGCCGAAGGCCCCAGTGCTGCCGCCCGCATGCGTCACGCACACCCAATTCGGCACACCCCTCACACGTTTCGTGGCCCCATCCCCGAAGGCCCCAGTGCTGCCCGCATGCGTCACCACACCCAATTCGGCACACCCCTCACACGTTTCGTGGCCCCATAGGGAGCGAAGGCCCCAGTGCTGCCGCCCGCATGCGTCCGCACACCCAATTCGGCACACCCCTCACACGTTTCGTGGCCCCATAGGGAGCTCCGCCGAAGGCCCCAGTGCTGCCGCCCGCATGCGTCACGCACACCCAATTCGGCACACCCCTCACACGTTTCGTGGCCCCATAGGAAGCTCCGCCGAAGGCCCCAGGGCTGCCGCCCGCATGCGTCACGCACACCCAATTCGGCACACCCCTCACACGCTTCGTGGCCCCATAGGGAGCTCCGCCGAAGGCCCCAGCGCTGCCGCCCGCATGCGTCACGCACACCCAATTCGGCACACCCCTCACACGTTTCGTGGCCCCATAGGAAGCTCTACCGAAGGCCCCAGCGCTGCCGCCCGCATGCGTCATTTGGTAAGTCCAGTTTCTCGTTGCCGTGGCACCCGATAGCTGTTGGACTTCCCAAGGGCGCTTCGGACGGAAAGCCAATTCATATCCGCATCGGGCCGGTCCGCCCCAGGGTGGAATAAGCGTGGGCCGCAAGATTCGGAATTGGTCTCCCCGCCGGCTACGCTTTGCGAGAGCTGCTGAGGACACCGGGATGCCAGACACCATTTTGAAGTTCTCCTCTTTGCGTGGATGCCGGAACTGTTCCTAGCTTTTCCACCATCTGCATGTCGTCGTCTGTCTGCCAGTCAACGCACATCTCTGATACGCATTGCTCTCGGTTGTCAGAAACGGTGACGAGCAGATGTGTCCTGGGTTCGTACGTTTTGCGGGCGTGGGGAACTCCTTCTCCTCCTCCTCCTCTTCCTCCGTGTTTTTTTCCATCCCTTCCCCTCTTATTCCTCCTCTTGTTTTGCCATTTTGGTTCAAGCAATCTGTGCCCAAACCGCATGGGTGCAGCCTTCGCTTGTTCGGCTATCGTCCCCTGGTTCGAGTAGCGGGGCGCCCACTGAGGGCCCCCCGAGTTCACCTTGTTCGGAATGCCATTGGAAGGCTCATTTACGATGGGGAGCTTACCACTCAATTACAGCTTTGCAGCAGTCGCCAACGGACGGGCCGTGGGCTCACAATTGCGTTGGCCGCGCTCGATTTCACCGCGACACCTCCAGCGTTGCATTGCGGACAGCAGCATTCTGGCGATCTTCCGCGCCACGGCCCCGGGCGCAGTCAGTTCCATGCCGAATTAACATCGTTTTTGTGTGGTTATGATCGGTTTGTTGTTGGCGGGCTTCCTTGGGCAAGATTTGTTGGCGATTTGCCCGAGATCTCGCTGAAGATTTCAAGAGGCGAAGAATTTTTGGAGATTCCGTTTGAGATTCCAACACGCGAAGATTTCTTGGAGATTTTATTTCCGATTCAACATTGGTTGAAGATTCGCGGGAAGATTTTTTGGAGATCCCAGATCACCTGTTGGAGATTCTCAGGCGGACTCGTTTGCCAGAATTGACCCAGCCCAAGGTTAATGACAGGGATGCCGAGCGCCTTCGACAGGCGGCTTCTAGCTGCCGCGCCCGCGGCGCCAGGGGGGCCTTATCACTTGCACATGGGCGCAGCATTTGTGCAAGGCGAAGGTCTTCGTGAAGGGCGGGGGGCGGGCTGGCGGCGCTGAAACGTTTGCCCTAATTTTCAGAGTCTGATGTTTGAATCCGCTGCGAGACCCCGCAGCGCCAAGGCGAGAACATTGTTTTGAAATGGGGGCTCCCTCCACGTGCGAAGCGAGTGCCAACATTTTGATTCATGTGTTCGGCGATGTGGAGACATCCGAATGCGGGATGCCATCCCTTACCATCCATGACTCTGTTGCGGATTTTTTTCAAGCGAGCGCTCGCGGCACTAAGGCGGTCACGCTTTTGAGGAAAACCCATTCGTTCATTGTTTGCAGATGTGGCCGGGAAGTGTGCGCGGCAGTATTGCTAGAACGCAATGCTGAAAACCACCCCCTTTTCCACCCCTTAGATTTTTGGAAGCTTGTAGGAGTGCTGGACGCGGCGCTCAGGCTAGAGCAGCTTTCAGGAAACGCCCCCCCCCCCCCCCTTCCATCAGTGAAACAGATGTGCGCGGCGCTACGGCAAAAACCACCTATTGAAACACATCCGCCGAAACTGTTGCGCACTTTCACGACGAATGTGCGCGACGCTCAGGCGATAACCACATGTTGAAAACGACTGGTCCTCCATTCTCGATTGTCTTGCCAAGTTTGACGCATGTACGCGGCATTCGACCCCTCTCTATCCGTGAAGCCGTCGCAAATCTCGGGCGCAACGCCAGGCCCGCCCTGCAGACGTTCTCTGTTGGTTACCAACGCAAGAGGAACCCAGTGGCAGGGAACAGAGAAACGAGGCGCGGAGGCGCGGGGCGGGAGGGAGGGAAAAATAATGTGGGGGGGATGGACACGCGCGCGCCCGCTCTCGCGTTCAACAGCCTCACGCCAGGGCCCGCGCATCCCGCGGCAGGCAGGAAACGAGGCGGCGCTTCCGCCGTAACGAGTCGCCCGCCGGTGGGGGCCGCAGCAGGTAGGCGTCCGCGCGGTGCGGCGTGAGCCCAGCGCAGGGCGGCGGCGCGCCCGCGCCGCCCCGCTCTCCCAGCGCCACCAGCAGGGCCCTGGCAGCTGCGAGGATCGCCCCGCTGGTGCCTCGCCGGCGCCGTCGCCCGCGAATGCTCGCAGGGCGGCCGTCTGCTGGCGCAGCGCCGAAGCCCGCTCGCCGGCCCTAGCCCATCGCCGGGCCTGGCCGGCGTACTGCCACCCAACGGGGGGCGGCGGCACCCGGCCATGGGCGCCGCCGCCGCTGTCGCTTTCGCCGTCCTCTACGTCACAGCCCAGCGTTTTTGTTTCCACGCCGCTTACGCCCGCGGCGCCCCGAGGTAATTACCGCGGCGGGGGCGCCACGGCTGCGGACCCGGCTGGCGGGGCCAAACCCGACTGGGGGCGGCCTTTCGGCAAGCGCGCCAGAGTGAACCCCACGGTATAATTATAGCCGGGGCGGCGCGCCTGGCGGTGGACAGCTCGGACGCCCAGTCGCGCTCGCACGCGGCCTCGGTGGCATGGTCGAGGGCGTCCAGCGGCACTATGCAGCTCGTGCCGCGTTCCGTCGGCCAGCCTGGGCCGGCTCCCGTCGCCCCGCCCTGTGGGCCGGTGTTTGTTGCCTCGCTGGCGGGGCCGCTGTTGGCGAGTAGGCCCCTCCCTTTCGGGCATGAGGAGGCCCGCGTCCCGTGCCGCCCCCAGGACTCCAACCGCTACTTCCGCGGCCGGGAAGGCCCAGTGGCTGCCGCCACGGGCGGTGGCGGCGGGCCCGGGGTCGCAATGGGCACGCAGGCGGCTGCTGCGACGCCCCCTCCAGCGTCGCCTCTGACTCCCGGAGGGGCTTTTGCTGTCGTTTTCGGTGCCGCTGTCGGCGCCGGGCTGCCACTCGAGCTGCCGCCCGAGCTGCTGGCGCAGCTGCTCCCCCGCTGGTGGCGCCGCCTCCTGCCGCGCCTGCTCCGGGGTCTGCCGCTGCCAGCGTCGCCCCTGCTGGCGCCCCAGCCTACGCCGTCGGCGCGGGGGGCGCTGCTGCCGCGAGGAGCGCCCCCGCCTCGGGGAGGCGCTCCGCCTTCCGGGGGGTCTGGGAGCCGCCCGTGCTGCACGTGCTGCCCGTGCGGGGGATGCGGCCCCCACGGCCTCGGCGGCCGCTCTCCCGCTCCCGGCCGGGGAGTCGGGGCCGTCCCCCTCTCTGGGCGCCACCACGGCGGCGCCGTTGCCGCTGCCGCGGCCGCCGATGTGGCAGGTCGCGCCTCGGTGCGCCGACGCGGGCGCGCGCCGGTCCTGACGGGGGAGGGCCGCGCGTCCGAGCTCGGCGCCGCCGGCGGGGCGCTGGTCTCGCGGGCCGGAGCGGACGGCGGCGCACCCGGCGCCGGCGCCACCGGAAGTGGCGCCCCGCAGGGGCGCCAGTGGTGCGTGGCCCTGGCGACACGTCGGGGGGTGGGACAGGGAAGGGTTATTATCCATATGGGAAAGGTATAGGGTACGGCGACGGCGACGAGGGCGGCGGCGGCGACGACGATCCCTACTGGTCTCCAGTGGTCCCCCCCAGTGTTGAAGTTACCAGAGGGCTCCTGGGACCCTTGGAAGCCTCTGGAGGCCTCGTGCATGCCTGACGATGGCCAATAATCCTTCCAGTCTTAGATCCTCGAGGACTGAAAGTCGAACCTCGATCCTGGATCCTCCTGTACCTTGCTTTGCGCATGGCGGTCTGGGCTGGACAACGCTTGTGAGACGCCCCTCAGGGCGGCGGCGCGAGGGTGCGAATGCAACGCGTATCACGGGGAGCGATGCGCGAGGTCAGGCGAGCTAGGATCCTTGATCCTCGTTCAGACGACGGAAGAGGAGATGGAGATGGAGGAGGAGATGGACGCAAAGGGTGAGGATGGGAGGGCGGGGGCCAACAATGCCAAAGAGCGTCGATTCGCGAAGCCCGGACATCGATCCTCGACCCGCGGTCGGACGGCGGCCGTGTCCGACGTCAGCGGCGGCCCGGCGCCGCCGCCAGGCTGAGGCTCGCAGCGCGGCGTTTGAGCGCGCGCACGCCGCGGCGGCGGAGCTGAACGAGCGGCTGAGGGAGCAGGCGGGGCGGAGGAGGCTCTGGATGCTGGTGGGAGGGGGAGGGGAGGACATGAAAGAGGGGAAAGGGCAGGGATACCCCGACATCCTGGCGCTGCAGTCTTCTCTCGCAGCGGGCGAGTTTGCTTCGTTGTGGGCCACTGGACTCTCACATATCGATCCGGCTCGAAAAGTGCCTCAGAAAGATGGGCTCTGAGGCTCCAGTCCGTGATTTTTCGCGGCGTTGAATTTTTCCCCAACCCTCATGAGAGTTGGGTCTTCGTTTTGAATCCGCAGTTCCGCGCGTCACTCCCGCTCCTCCTTCTCCTCCTCTTGCCTCCCAGCAGGGAGCTCCACCTCTGGCCCGAGTGAGCGCGCTCGCGTCGTCCCCGCGCCGATTTCGGCACACCTTTCACCGCTTCGTGCCCCGCAGGGAGCTCCTCCTGCCCCCGTCCTCCTGTGCCGTGCCGCGTTCGTCGCCGTCTCCCCCCTTTCCGGGGTTTGAGTAGTGGCAATGCGCGCGTGAAAGCTCGTCGTTGAGTGTGGTCCGACTCTGTTTTGGCGTTGCCTTTAGGGATATTGCAGACGCTTCCACGGCTCTTGCACATTAAGCGGTCTGTTCGCAGTCGCCCCGCATTTAGAAAGTGTTGGACTAATCGCCAGGCTAATTCTGCAACGTCGGGCAGAGGCGGAAAAAGACATGTTTGGTTCAAGCTTCCCTCGTGTTCGGCGCCGGCTTCTCGACGTGGAGCGGCGCAGCTTTGGAGTACCGTTGTTTTCCCATTCTCCCCCTTGCTCGGTGTTCCCCGCCCGTGCTTGATCAGTGTTCCTCCGGGGATAGAGGTGACAATCGGGTATTGCCAGGATCTCAGGAACATGTTTGCCAGGTGGAGGTTTGGGGGGGACGTCGAAGTGAAACGGACACCGCATTCGAAAGTCGGTTTCGGTGCCGTGTTCGTGTACTGCGTGCGGAGAAGGCGGGCGAAGCTGCGCCCGCGGGTGAGAGGAGTGATCCCGCCGTTGTTAGGGCGAAGTCGGAGCAAAAGTCGGTCCCCCCTCGAGCGGCGGGTTAGGAGGCGGGACTGTTCCGCAGTTATCCCAATGGTTATCCCAATAGTTGTCCCGATGGTTGTCCAGATGGTTATCTGGTGGTTGTTCCGATGGTTGCCCTGATGGTGGATTATTCCCCTTCTCCTAAGATGGGGCTATTCTTATTCCCCATCTCCATTACTCCGACCGCGCCAACTCCCATCAAACACACACACACACATCCCTCCTCCTCCTCCTCCTCCTCATGTTATGCCATGGTACTGTACGTTATGTAGTGTTATGGTGTGGCATGCTATGGTGTGCATGTTCTGCTTTGGTAGGGTATGCTATGCGATGACCTCTTATGTTATAGTATGTCATGGCTTGTTCCCCATATCGAGAGAATGGGGTTCTTCTTCCCCATGTCCAAAGGCTTTGGTTCTTGTTACTCCCCATAACGAAAGAACCGATGGGGCTATTGTTGTTACTCCGACTTGCCAACTCCTTCACTCACTCACCCCTCCCTCCTCCTCTTCCTTCTCATGGTATGTTATGTTATCATGTGACATTGTATGCTGTGATATGCCATGGTATGTTGTGGTATGTGCTGTCATGCCATGGTATAGGAGGTACGGTCTGGTATGTAATGTTGTGCTGTCATATGCTAAGTTATGTAATGATATGTCATGCTATGCTATGTCATGGTGTGAGAGGTCATGCTATGTTATGGTATAGCATGATGAGTGTGGTGGTGATGATGATGCTGATGGTGATGATGATGCTGATGATGATGCTGATGATGATGTTGGTGATGATGATGATGATGATGATGGTGGTGATGATGATGGTGATGACGGGGCAACATCTGAGGATGTCTCGAGCGAGGCGCGGGTTTAAACACCCCCAAGGGGGAGCCGACAGGGGGTATTGCAGTCCTCCGTTCGCGCCAACATGGCGGGGATGTCTCGAGCGGTTTGCTTGCTTTCTGGCCCAACATCCTCCGCTTTCGGAGCAGATTGGAGGATGTCTCGAGCGCGGCGTTCATTTTCGCCTTCAAGTGGGGCCAGATTTTGAGTATGTCTCGATCGGTTTGCTATGTTGGTTGCCAGACTCGTGGGCACGGACCCTCCCAGGGATGCCACAGGAGGTTCCAGCAGGCTCCAGGAGGCCCTGGGAGGCAACGGGAGGTCGCAGGAGGAATCAGGAGGCCACGGGAATACTCAACAGGCCGCAGGAAGCCCGAAGAGGCCCTAGGAGGCCCCAGAAAGTGGCGGGAGGTCTCAGGAGGCTCCAGGACTCCCGGATGCTCCAGGAGGCCACAGGAGGCCCCAAGAGGCCCCGGGAGCAAGAGGCCCCCAAAGGCCATAGGAGTGCCTCCAATCCCATGGATTGTACGTATACTCCTATAGATTGGGACTCCCCTGGAGCACGAATCCTGTTTGTGTTTTACGTAAGTTTCTATGGATTGTCCTTCCCCTGTGTAGCCATCCTAAGTGTTTCTCGTATGTTCCTGTAGATTGGTTTCCCGCGTGTTTCTGGGTGTTTTACGAGTCCTTGGTGTTTAACGCGTGATCCAATAGATTCCCGCTCTCCTGCGGCTCCAATCCGCAGTGTTCTAGTACGTCTGTTCCTACATATTGGGCCTCTCCTGGGGCACGAATCCTCCCCAGGAGGCCCCAGCAGGCTCCAGGAGGCTCCAGGAAGCCCCAGGAGGCCACGCGAGGCCCCAAAGGGCCCCAAGAGGCTCCAGGAGGCCGCAGGAAGACCCAGGGGGGTTCAGGAGGCCCCAGGACCCAGGACGCCCCAGGCTCATGCGCAGAAGCGCGCTCGTACTGAGACTCATTCACACTCCAACTCATTCACAGTTGGAGTCACTCCCAGACCGTGAATACTCAAGCCCGTTTATGTTCGAACATTTTTGCGCCTAGACACTCACGGCGGACAGGTCCTTGCTAATAGATGTGCGTATGGGGAGCTCCCCGCAGTGATTGTTAGTAGGATCGGTGGATAGAAAGTGTATTTTTATAGATCGGAGCATGGATTGATCATTGCAATAGCTGGCATCACTTCACATCGATATCGGCTTCAATCGATCTACAGACTCGCACCGCGATAGACGTACAACTCATATGGCGTACGCATGACCGTATATAGTTCGATCGCTTATGTGGGGAGCCCGCGGCATAGACATTATATATATATATATATATGCACACACACACATACGTATTCTAAATTTATATATGTATATGCATGTATACATGCGTACATGAGGGTGCCAGAGCTACCAGGGTTCCTATGAGGGTGCCAAAGCTCCCGTGACGGCCCGGGCCCGCCCCCAACACGGGCCACGACAGGCCACGGGGGTCCCAATAGGGCCCACAACGGTCCCAAGAGTCCCTGAAGACGCCCAAGATGCCCCCAAGACTGCCGACGAGGATTCCGACACGCCCCAGGACGGCCTCAAGAGGCTCACCAAGAGGGCCCTGGGAGGCAACATTCGTGCATTCCCCTATGGTTTTGCAGGATTTTGGCGTTCTCGCTGTTCCCGCTTCCCAGCGCTCCTTCACGGTTTCGGAGGCCTTTCAGATCGCTCCAGGACGGCCCACGACCCCCCGAAGAGGGCCCCAAGACGTCTCATGAGGCTCCCCAGACAACCCAAGTGTGCTCCAAGAGCGCCCCAAGCCCCAAGAGGGACCCAGAGGGGGACCACAAACCGATATTTCGAGGTCTCTGGCCCTAGAGGCCACCAAGAGGCTCCCAAGAAGCTTCGTGAGGCCCCCAAGAGGCCCCCAGGGAACCCCAAGAGGCCCCCAGGGGCCCTCTGGGAACACCCAAGAGGCCCCCCAACACACCCCAACTACCAGGGGACGTACCCAACCCTTTGTACACATGAGGCGACTATACATCGGACCGCGCAGTACAAAAGCAAGCACTGAAGGATCCGCCGTGCTCTTGAACGCTTTACCAAAGAACGTTGGGCCGGAGTAATTTGTTTGACATTCGCGGCATCACTCTGAAGAGTCAAATCGTTGGCAGGAAGCCGACGTTGAGGGGGTGTGGAACCATACTGATGTGGGGGAACCGGAGACATGCTTCGTGGGAGGAACAGCGCATGGCGCTAGGTTCTAACTGCAGATAGGCACCATGAGCGCTATGACAGACCAGCGCCCTGCGCTGAACGCTGCGGGTACCCAAGTGCACACCGGACAAGCGGCAATTGAAGAGTCGATGCGGCATGGGCACATGACAGCGCCATGCGCTCCGTGGCGCCCCATCCCGCTGCGATCTGCAATCAAACAGCGCAGGGAGGTCTCATGGTGGCCCCCGTGGGACACCCCTCCGCTGGACCTCGCAGGAACCCACGAGAGTGGCGACAGTTTCGCAGATAGCAGTCCCCCAGGGGACGGCGAGGTTTCGTGATGATCTGCATAGGAAGAACCTCCGCTGGCCCTCCCAGGAGCCCACGAAAGTGGTGACAGTTTCGCAGATCGCAGTCCCCCCGGGGACGGCGAGGTCTCGTGTTGATCTGCATAGGACGTACCTCCGCTGGGCCTCCGAGGAGCCAGCGAAAGTGACGATCGCAGCCCCCCCGGGGACGGCGAGGTCTCGTGATGATCTGCGTGGGGCGTACCTCCGCTGGGCATCCCAGGCGCCCGCGCAAGTGGCGACAGCTTCGCAGATCGCAGCCCCTCCAGGGACGGCGAGGTCTCGTGGTGATCTTCGTAGGATGTACCTCCGCCGTGCCTCCCAGGAGCCCGCGAAAGTGGCGACGGTTCACAGATCGCAGCCCTCCAGGGACGGCGAGGTCTCGTGGTGATCTGCACTGGACGTACCTCCGCTGGCCCTCCTGGAAGCCCACGAAAGTGGCGACAATTTCGCAGATCGCAGCCCCCCCCAGGGGACGGCGACGTCTCGTGGTGATCTGCGTGGGACGTACCTTCGCTGGCCCTCCTGGGAGCCCACGAAAGTGGTGACAGCTTCGCAGATCGCAGT